GCTAAAGAGGTTAAATGCTTTCTGGTTAAAGGATGAAATTTTTTTAAAAAAATCAAGAAAGTCTTCCTAGGGTCAGTTAGCAGGATGGTGGGAATTATGCACTGTTAAAACATTCACCAGTTAAACGGGTTTCAGATTTTACTAAAAGACTATAATAAAGGCAGATAAATTTATCATAATAAAAGCACATTGAGGTCAAAGGTTATAGAGGGAACGTTATGACGTGATAATCAGGAAGTCAGAGCCATGGATGTAGCTTCTTGCTCTTCTCTTTCAATAACAATATCAAACTTCAGTTAGTTACAGAGGATGAATCTTTGCTTTAACTGCTCTCATGTGATACATGAAATTCATTTCTAGTTTAAAATACAGAATAGAGTTCAATGGCATACCTCTTTCATGAACTCCTGACATGAATCCTCTTAACTTATATGAATCAACATGAATTGGTTTTCAGAAAGATATTGGTAAGCAAAGGTCATTTTCAAGTACATTCTTTAGTGATTATCTGCCCTTACAGAGAATACTTGCCTTTTTCCTTTCCCCATCTCTTCCTGTTAACTGCCATGTCTCAGTAGTATCTTATCTATTTGGTCAATTCCTTTATATTACCAATCCAGTGTCAAATAACATTACTGAGTAAAACAAGGATTTCAAACTGGGGGACCTGTGAGGCCAATTCAACCTACTTTGATAAACATATTTGTTCGACCCATCTGGTATTAAAGAGATCTAGAAGTACCACATGACAATTTAGATTTCTGGGTTTCTTTTGATAAATCAGAGGACCTTTCAACAGTAGACCTGAATTTCATATGACTAAAACCTGCTGGAGCAAAATATGAGACTACCTTCTTTAAGTAAACCCCACCTCTCCCTGCTGTTTACACTCAGCCAGTCTCATTCATTAAATACCTACTTGGACCCCGTCGGCTGTGAATATGTGACCGTTTGATTAGACTGATGTGGTGGTAGTGGTGATGGTGGTGTGCATATGGGTTATGAAATAAGCATTCATCCAAGTTGGTTTAACAATTAGTCTCACTCCATGTGAGTTAAGAGATTATGATGTGTGTTAATTCATTTCTTCAACATTAATTTATGGCCTATCAAACAGTAAAATAATCTTTTAAGGATTAACAAAATAGATTCCTAATTAAAAATATCATGAAAAGATAACTTCCTGTATCCAAAAAGCTGCATACTAATCCCATGAGACCTTTATCACTACTTTGTTCTCTTCTCTCTTGAGTTTTTTCTTCTCCAAATGTATCACAGAAAAATCATAATCTGTTTTTTTAAAGAAGATTTATTTTGGATTAAGTGATTTCATGATGCAACACGGTTTTAAACAAAAATAGAGATCAGTATGAAAATAAAACAAATTGTACACATTAAAATATCTTTCCCTCAAAGCATTTCAGAATCATAAAAAAATACAACACAGAAGTCAGGGGTTCAGGTGAGGATAAGAATAAAGACTTTCCAGAAAACAAACAACTAGCCTACATTTCAGAGTCCCAGGCTCTATTTATTACCACCCACAAATCATTTCTAGGGTGTCAACAGTCTGCATTATTTGCTTGTAAAAAAAAAATGAAATTTAAATATAAGGTGAAATGAGAGCTGTATAATCTTAATGTCAATAGCAAATATTTCCCATTATTATTCTCTATGAAAAGTCACATTGAATAAATATGAAGCTTAAATCAACTCAGCAAAAATAGAAACATGGCTATTAATTGTGACATGGTGTAGCAGACACAGTGGGTGGAGTTGGTGAAAAGAAATTGAAAGGCTTAAAAAAATACACCACCTGTGCTCTACTGAAATCTTAGACATAATGTAATTTTTTTTCAGAGCCTTAATATTAAAAAGTAAGCATTATCATAAAATTAGATTAATACTTTCATTAAGAGGCAAGAGAGATGCATGTATTTTTATTTATTTATTTTGGAATGCCTGCATCCCTACTATAAAAACATGGGATCTTATGCACTTTCCAACATATTAACTGTCTCACATTTTACTTATGATATCATATAAGGAAAAATAGGTTGTAATAACATCTTTTAGAGCATTAGGGTCCTAAAAGAACATTCCATTTCGTGTGTTTCCTGGTTAATCCTTCCAAAGTATTTCTTGAACATTAGCCATCCTTTTATTTTTAATAGAAGGTGATAGTAACCAGAAGTTTACTAATGGTTCTTATCTGTATCAATAATAGCTGATTCAGTTTGAATCATACCACATACCTATCAACACTCCTCAGGGTTGTAATATCTTAAAGAAAATTGGATAGAAAGATATCACCAGCCCAAGGCCACCAGATGTAAAAATCACACATACAAATCTAATTTTCCTGTGTGCCCCAGAAACCATACAACTAGGGCCATCCAATTCTGCTGAACTGTTTGATCATGAAAACCAAAAAAACTACCTTACAGATGAAACCTAAGCAACTGTATTGTCAGTCTTGATTAACTTCCTGAAAAATTGGAAACACCGATTAGGTCTCCATTTGTAATTCAGTAAAAGGATTCTTAGGGTTTTGCTTTCCAGATGAATATAGAACATTTAAGCTGCCATTAGAGATCATGAAAAATGCCTCAAAAGCTATTCTGATGTTAACAAATGTCTGCTAAAAAACAAATTAAGCATAATAAATGTGTCAAGCAATATCCTCTCTCTTCTTCCCCATACAAAGTTCAGTAATACTAACAATTCTTAAGTTAAAAATAATCCACAACAAAATTTAATACTAAATTGTCAAATCTCCTGATTAAGCTATGGTTGGTTAGCTTTAATACTTCAGGGCTAAATTCTGTTTTGCAATGCAGAAAATCTCATCAACGTCCTGGAGGTATAAAATGAGGGTATTTTCCTCCAGGTAGATAACAAGGAGTGCTCTCATTAGGCAGAAGAGCATTATTTTTCTCAAAGTCAGAAACTAATTTGAAGTATATGTTTCTACCCCCACCAGCAAGCCCTAAGATGATCCTTCCACTCTGGTTTTAATGCTCTCTCTGCCATAGTCCTGCAGACCGCTCTGATATGGATAGTGCACACATACTCAATACATCCTTTGTGCCAGCTCCTTGGAATGCAGTTACCATCCCTGAGTCTCAACAGTTGGTCAATAATTAGCATTACATTCTTGGCGGGGGAGTGGGAGGAGACACAACTGCTGGGCTCCTCTTCTCTGATTTTTTTTTTTTATCATCCTTCTAGTAGGCAGCAATGGTTGGCCTTGGAAAGCTTGATGTCTCTGAGACCTTTGCCTCCATGCTAGATAAGCAAATCTATCTAGAAAACACAATTGAACCAGAAAAGTAATAGGTTTTGCAAAATTAGAAATCTAACTGAAAGTGACATTCTCGTTCATTTAAACTCAAGTTTTATAGAAACAAAGTGTCTAAGATCTAGAGGATTTTCAATCATCAATTAAATCAGAAAGCAAGTAAGAGAGCACAAAAGGGAGTCACACTCAGTTTGGACATGAGGCCCTGCTCTTCATTTGCATGTTTTTACTATGCAGGGTGCTAGGTATCTTGTAATGATAGGATAGCATCATTTCATCTGCAGTGGGAATTTCCAGAATACGGCTGGATTGCAAAGACTTTTAGGCTCTTCATTATCAGATGTTTGTCTTAGTCAGATGTGGCCAAGTCAAAAATAGAATTTGTGCAGAAAGAAAGAGGAAAAATTGGATGAATGTGAGGAAGACAGAGAGGAAAAGAAAACCTGCAGTGGTTCCTTCATTCACATCACTGGAAGTCAGCCATCAGGGCTTCCTAGATTCATCCTTATTCAAAATTAAAAAATAAAAAATCAGGCTTCCGATTAAAGCATTTTTTCATTATCTTGCTTCCAAATAATATTTGGTAAAACTAACTATACTATATAAATCCACCAAGAGCAATCAAAATTTGCATTTTTTTAATTTCTCATAACAAGTAGTAAGATGAAAATATTAAAGATATGTGCAGTTTTTCCATGATTATGCTAACTTCTTCATGGACTTTTCAGAAGCGGTCACATTTTAAGAGTATTTGAAAAAAATGAGAGTCTGGGTAGACAAAACATCTTGCAAAATTCACTGAAACTGGAATAGGCAAATAGAAACATTCATCTCCACATTTCCTGAGATGAAACCTAGAACAGTAACTGTGAAGTACTGAAACTGACCTCACAGCCACCATGAACATCAGCCTCAAACCAGGTGGGACTTGATACCTTCTACCGCACAGAGCATGTGAGGATCAGGACAGACCAAGTACCTGAAAGCATTGAGAAACTAAAGTGCTGTTCAAAACTGTTCCACCATTATCGTTCATCATTTGAATACAGTTTTTTTAACTTCCGACTGTTACGCAAGTGAAATCAAATTTCTGTTATTTATTACAGAATTTCCACTAAATTATAAATACAACATGTGCTAGAAAATTGTGACCACACTTCTTTGACCAGGATCCATTCATTTTGTGCACAAGGAAAATGTTTTGACCCCAGAGGTGGGGTGGGCTCAAGGATTGGGATTTTTTCACACTGAAAAACCAAAGGTACATTGTAGTACAGATGAAAGAAAACAGAGGAAAACAGCTGAACTTAATCTTGGCATTGTTTGGATAATTTGAAGATCCTTACATTGTTCCTTCACAGTTCAGCCCCCAGCTATACACTTTAAACCCTAGTGTAAATGCACTCAGGGCTTCCACACTTGACCAGTACTGTCACACTGTTACATGCCATTAGTCACCAGCAGAAAGAGCATTTATATGATTTATTAATTTTCTTTTAGCCACAGTATCTCCTGTGTATGAAGTCTTCATTGGAACTCCCAGATGGAACAAGCCATTCTCTCCTCATTCCTTGATTGTAGAACATATCAAACTTTACTTAAAATACTTTTTTGAACCTTGGTGTCTACTCCACTGTGAGCTTCTCGAGGGCAGATTTTGAATCTTGCAGCTCCATCAACAAACACAGTGGCCAGCACTGAGTGAATGCCAATAGTGGGCACTGGCATTCACCCAAGAGATGCCCTTCATACATATTTGGTATATCACGACTGTCTTATACAGTATGAGATGTTATTGTCTGAGCATCTCTTATGGGATTCTTAAAGACAACAAGACCAGACAGCCCAGTGATCTAAGTTTACATTCCAGAAGAAGATATTTGTGGATATTTCTACTTGTACGGTATATTAAAGTCTCATTTAGTTTGTGGAAATATTCAATATTTTAAATAGTTATTATTGGACTCTTGTTTTACTAACAAAGAATAATAGATCAGTGATCATGGTGTTCTGACCTAACAAGCACATCTTTGGTCATTCCCAGTTCTGAGAACAGTAGCAACTAGGCGATTATACTGATATTTGGAAAGAAGTTGGATGCCTTAACAAAGAAATGTATTTGTTAAAAACAATTAAAGAAAGAAATTTTATTTCAAATCTCATTTACCTGATAATGTGGAATATGGTAACAGTGTCACAAACCAAAATGAAAGCTAACATGGTCTTTGAAAGTATTTCAGAAAGAAATGCAACCTTCTGTATCAGCTGCTTAGAGAGCTGCCAGCTCTGAAACACCTTATATACCATTAAAAATGTAACTTTTAAAAAAAAGTATGTTATATACCATTTTTCCTTATAATGAAAAAAATACAAGTAAAAATAGTTTGCAAAATTAAATATATACTTATATTCATAAGTAAGTACAAACTAACATTTCCAGTTAAATTTTTTTCTCTTTCTTTCTGATACAAGTATAGTATACAGATAAATCTCCCCTTCTTATTTCTAGATTTCTGTAATCTTTTTTTCCAGAACATTTCCCCACACTGGAGTACCCACCTTTAGTGCAGGAATGCAACATGAGTGGCATTCCTCGGAGGGTCCCAATGGTAAACATAGCTTAACCAACAGAGCAATCAGTTCTTACAAGCCACCTAGGAAAACCATGCAGATGACCTCTGTAAAATGTAAGATTGCCAGCATCCCATAATAGGAATTCCATGGCTACCTATAAATATAGTTCTCAAAGAAGTGTTTGGGCAATACCTGTAATACCATGGGCTGGCAAACCAAAGGTTTAATCCAATGCTTTTATTACCCACAATTTAACTTTACTCTGCTGAACACCTGATTAGCTACGGCCATGAAACCAAGAAATAAATGATGATGTGGAATAACCCCAAAGCAATAAACATGAAGAACACCCTCTGATAAAACTAGGTAGGCAGAAATAACATTAGTGATGTCATGCACTTTCTGAGATATCATAGAAAAACTGGTTCTTAGTACTGATAAGAAAATTATGCATCAGTGAAAATGCAGGCTTAGAAATATAGCACTGAGGGTTTCAGTAGGTGATGTCTCCACTGATGAGGGGGATGGAGAGCTGACCTCTTGGATGGTGCTGATGGCTCCCTAGCTGAGCTTAGTGTTTGATGATGCTGTACAAATAAAAAGCAGTGGGGGAAATACGAAATATCTGTATTAAATGCCATCCTGTAAAGTATTTGATGGATGGAAGAGAGTCTAATGCATTTTAAATAAATGCATATCATACTATCACATATAGTGAGTCTTAAAAAATTATTACTTAGATGCACAGTCCTTGTAGTGGTAGACATGGCACTGTGAAGGAAGTTTGATTTAGAAGCTATTTTCTGTCATACTTGTCAAGTGATGGAGTTAGTCATATTGTAATGTCCCTTCGACTTTGGTACATTCAGTGCAAAATATTTCGGGGAATTTTTTTGTACCTTTATAAAAATAAAAGGCCCTTTTGTTCCCTTGAGAGTGCTTAAAAGGATACGTACTAGCATGATGCCCGAGTAAGCATGGAACGTGAGAATGGAACAGATGATACACACAGTGTGATGGGTAGGTTCTTATATACATCTTAGAGAACATAAATACACGGCAGCTATAAAAAATAAACAGAACTCACTGTGCACTTTTTCCTGATATGCTGTGATTAATTGCTAGTTACTTTAAAATTGTTGTCATGCATTATAAAGCATAGAATCTGTCATTAGTAATTCATTGTATAACAGTTTATCTTCATCCATAATTACACATATACCACTTTGCATATACATTGTCACAGACCACCTTATTGCAAATCTTTACAGTTACCTCCTATTGACTTGGTTTCATTTTCACCCGTGTCCCATGAAAGCTGAAACCTATGTGCACACCATGCAGGCACTCATAAGCAAGAAAATGAATATTCTGTTATAACTCAGGGCTTAAATGAATGTACTTTCAGGAAATATATTTGTTTTTATTACATTATTTAACTCGCACTAATTTGGAGATTGGGCCAAGTGTTGCCAGGTTGGCTTGAACCACGTTCAAAGGTAAGTTTCAAGATTCTCCTGAGTCTCTGAAAGTTACCAGGGAGCTGACCACGCACAGGTTCACCTCTGTCTTGGAACATAACAAATGGGAAGAAGTTTGGCATTCAAGAACTGTTGATTGAGAGACTGTTGGGTTGTTCCCTGGGCATCAAGCTCACCCAAAATCTTCCAAGAGGACTCATCACCACCATCCAGTCCCTAAACATGTGTGTTCCTGGAAAATAACACCACTCGGCTTTCCTCTGACGGAAGCATACTCTTGAAACTTCCAATACCCAGCCACTCTTCTAGGGGCAGCGTCTGGAATTGCCTGTCCACACAGAGCCAGGCACTGTTCTTCCAGGTCATTCGAGTCCAAAGGTACTGGTCTCTTCAACTGCTGTCAAGAGTTTTTCATAAAGCATGGAGAAGGATGGGTACGGAGGGAGGTCCAGACGGTTAAAACAAGTGTGAGCTCTGTGAACAGAAGAAGCAAGAACAGAGTTGAGAATGCCTAGAGTGGACCGAGATTGTTTCTGTGCGCGGTGTGCTTGTGTCTCAGATTCATATTGGTTTGTTGCCAATTTTCACACTCCGTTTGGAAACACTTTGAAAACACTTTGAATTAAAAAAAATTCAGAATTGAATTTCTCTCAGAGAAATGGGATCTTCAGAAAATATTTTCTTTGCATTTTCACAACCATTGAAAATCTATATGACATACATAATACTATTTGTTTAGTTGCCTAAGAATTACAAAGACAAGTTTGGGTTTTTTTTTGTTTCTCTTTTGATGTAAGGTTTTTTCTTTTTTTTCCCCCTAAAAGACATGAGTAGAAGCTCTTGCAAAGTAATTCATTTTCACAGTTGGCATTTGCCTGAACATCTCTCAGAAAATCGATGGTTTTGCATTTTTTCATTTTGCTGGTCGAGGAAGAGCACTGAGTGTCTCTGAAGACCCATGAATCTGCCTCACGACTTAGAGTCTTGGGAAATTCCCTGGCTGGATTTCCTTGTCGAAGTTAGTAGATCATTGTTACTTCTTTGAATCCTGTACTATAATCTGTTTTCTCCTAATTCACAATGCAAAATAGTGGCCATTTAAATCATTACGTTAAGCATTCTTTTTTTAGAAATACCTCCCCTTCTGCCAAGATAGGAAAAAAATATGCTTTCCTGTTATTTGCACCTGAATCACAATAAAAAATAGACAGTCTCCAAATAGTACATCTTATCAGGAAGCAAATCAGCACCTTTGACATGAAATAGGAAGCGTTTTACTCGGAATGTACAACGGTTTGTTTGTGGGAGCTAAATGACTTTACTTTGACTTTAAAAAGTGCTCCTGAATTAAGGTGAAATTTTAGGAGCTATGATTATTAACAGGCTGTTTTCACAAAGTCACATGTTTAAGTTTTTATTCTTATGAATCACTTCAATATTTCTGAAATAAATATAGTTTAACTTTATTTACTATCTCAGGTCAGTGGAATCCTACAGTATTCATCCTTTGTGACTGGCTTATTTCACTTGCATAATAGTCTTCAAGTCCATGTTGTAGCATGGGTCAGAATTTCCTTTCTTTTTAAAGCTAAATAATACTCCATTGTACATATATACCACATTTTATTAACCCATTCATCCACTGATGGACACAAAAGGAAGGAATGGATACTTTTTTTGACCCTCTTCAGTCACAAGACATAATCACCACCACTGATCCACAATCTAAGGCTACCACTGCTTCCTAAATCATCTGGTTGCATAATATACGGTTACTGTGGTAGAAATTTCCTTCTGAATAAACCGAATAGCTCCCCTGGAAAATGTTTCATGAGGATGGAGCAAGCATATACTGTTGAGGGGGAAACTGCAGAAAGATTAAATGGTTTTCCAAAGGTCAAATCAAGAATAGGACCGCAACCTTGGTTTCCTAGGGGAAGTCCAACATTAAACCGAAAGCAGGGAGACTAATGCTTTGTTCTTTCACTTTTGGAGCCGGAGTGTGAATTTCATCCCACCCCTGACTGTATACTGCAAGCCCTCAACATCCTACCAGACTGCATACATTCTGAGGATAAGGATTAGCAAAACAAAGCTTCAGATATTTTTTAAATGAATGACTCAATCACAATATGCTATAACGCTGGGGAAAATGGTCCAGTTTGGGTCAGTCCAGGAAACTCTGGGAGATACCAGGGGATTTTTTAGGTGTTCAAACCTTCTAGCTCTATTTATCTCAGGCTCACCAGAAAGCAAAGACAGAGAGCTATGTTGGAGGTCATCAGAATCACTCAAGAAGCTTGTTTATAATGGAGAATTTAGGGTGTAGCCCCTGAGATTCGACATTAGAAGGTTTTGGTGGGCCTAGGGATCTGCCTGGTAACTATCATTCCAAATGAGTCTGAGGCAGGTAGGCTCCACCCCTGGAGAAAAGTCAATTGGATTAGAAATAAGATATCGACACTGGCTACGCACACCAGTGTTTTGTATGCTTACAAAAATTTCAAAACTCTTTCTAAACAAGACGGCATTGCTAATAAGGAAATTGAGGAATAGTGTGGTTAAATGGATTGCCCAATATTTACCATCAACTTACTGTATGAGCCAAGAACAGAAAGAAAAAAAAGAAAGGCAAAACAAAACACAATCCTCTGAGGCTTTTCACACCCCCTCTCCTGCCTCATTCCATGTCCTAAGAAAACTCTAGCAGAAAATAACAGAAGGGCCCTTGGACTATGTTGATATTGGCAGCAAAAGCACATCCAGTTATTCAGTCTCAATAAAAGAACATTTTTCAAATCTTTCAAAGCCAGCCACACTAAGGCTATAATGAGTTTACCTCATTTTAATCTATGCAGCCAGAACCACTCACGGAGAGCAGGTCTGAACCC